TAGACCAAAATAAATTTTAATTTGAGTATTTCTGGAAATGTTCCACAGCAAAATAAATAAATAAATAAAATGAAAACAAGCATGAACAACGCTCTTTACCCTCCTAAACTTCTAATTAAAGCTCAACTTAACAGGGAAATATATCCAACTGCCTTCAAGCTTGGAGCTACTAGCTTTACAGACAGAATTATTCATTCACCATGAATTAGTTTAATTAAGATGCAGACTTTAAGGGACTGCCTTTGAAATATCATTTAATTCGTTTTTCAAATATATATGAGAAGAGCATTTTGTGATAGACGTGCTAAAAGCATCTGAGCAATTTATATTCACAAGTGCCCTTGCAGGCATTAACATGCGTATTAGTAAAGTCTAACAAAACATTGTGATGTACTACTCAGCTCTCTTGTATTGATTAACTATGACAAGGCTGTGAAATTAAGTTCAGAAACAAAACTATTCATTAGGAAGGTTAGAAACGATGATGAATTTGTGTGCTGATTCACATTCAGTAAATTACACCTGAGCCCTCTCCTCTGTCCTACAGCATCTTGAGAAAGAGGCTGTATGAGGGCAGGGGGCTGCACAGGTGATTTAAAACTCATTCGCCCCCTGCTGATGTTGGCCTCTCATTCAGGAAAGCACTGTGGGCTGCCAGGCAAGCGATCCATCAGGACTGTCCCATTACTAAATCCTGGGGTTCCCACCTGCTTCTGGTAGACCTGCCTTCAAGGATCCGTGGACGTGTGTGTGTGTGTGTGTTAGTGCACGTGAACCGAGTTAAACCATTACTCTGTGCTCTCTGCCCTGAGGGCCTGCAGTCTGTGGTTTCTTTTCCCAGACTTCAGCCAGGCAAGACCAGCACTGCTGCCTCTTTCAGAGCTGCGTTTGACTGGCAACATTCAGCCTGCAAACACTCTGAGAGTGGTGATAGTTGGCTGAGATTATGGCTAATACAGTCGCACAGCATCTAATTTAGAGCTAAATCTCCTCCAGTGTGTTTGAACAGCCAAGAGAGGAAGAGAAAGAGGCCCCAGCATGGTGTTAATGTTGTACGGATGACAGCACACACAGCTAATGGAGGAAATGGCGCCTAATATACACATTCCAGAGCATGACACACACTGTAGCTCAAATTACACATACACACCACTGCAAACGTGATTATGTTTTCTTTATCCAACACTAGGGAAACCAGGCAGCCACATTAATTTCCCCAGAGTGAGAAGACCAGTCATTTTAATCTGTGCCTGCACAGACAATACAAACACATGTATGTGTTGGTGCAGGGGCACATTTCCCGTTTTTTCTTTCTCTATTCTACACACACAAACACAGATGTACACACTTTAAGTTTTTGCTCACAGCCACGTTAACCCCATTACGTGTCTCAGCACTTTACATGTCTTCACCAGTGCAAAGTGCTATACTGTCCTATAATGTCCAAGACTACTATCTCTAGAGCAACACACGTGCAGGAATCCACAACACGAAGGAGTAAGCTGTTTATGTTGCCTAATGCCTTCACAGCCACCATAACAGACAAAAGTGTTTACAGTTGTTTAAATGCCTGCACAGTGCAGACAAATACAATGACAGCAGAGAGTCCATTAAGGTGAGAAAGTGGAAAGGTTTAGTTAAGTTAAAAGTTACATTTCTAAACAATCAAATGGAGTTTGGCTTATAAAAATCACTTGCAGTATTGACTACTGCATTTTTAAAAATGTGCCTTTTTTTCAGAAGAAAGCAATTTCAGATAGTGCTATGCAACATTACGTTTCAATATATTCACATTTGTCAAGCAAAGCAGTTCTCCAATACACTTCATATTTTTTTGTTATTCAGAAGAAAGAGATGATTATTTTTCAGCTTCTCTGCTTCCCAGGTAGACACACACTCACCCCCAAGTTCCTTCACTCAGGTTAATTTATTTATTTATTTAACAACAGACATGAATAAATAACATTATTATGTGATTTAGCCAAATATCTATGTCGTGCTGTATCAGCCTACTGAATGGCTGCAGGCACTTGAATAAAACACCAGGGATGAAATTTATGAGCAGTCATTATGTTTGATTCAGCGTTGCCATGGTTACTCCAATAAAAGCTTAATGGGTAACTATATTAAAATAGTATGTAGAAAATACATGTACATAAATAAATGTAGAAAATGTAACTATAAAATATAAACATATATATAAAATAAATATAAACTATAAACATAAATGTAGAGAACAGTTTTGGTCTCTATAGCTAAATGCCCTATTCATTAAAAACTATACAGGGGGTGAATTTTTAAATAACGTTTAAATTATATCAAAGCTTAAAGTTATGCATAATTAAGGATGGCCGCTTAGAGTGACAGGGGGGTGCTGTCACAGGTGGCTGTTTGCAGTAACCAGGCTTCATTCAGCCCGCCACAGCTCCACAACTCACAAACTCCTTAGAGAAGGAGAACCTGCAAAGATAGTAAAGTGCTTAATAAAACACGTATAGAGCTACAACTTTGTGTGATTTGCCTGTTAGCCACACTAATTCCTAAAGTTAATCTTTACAACCCTGCCTGTGCTATTTCCTGTCCCCTCTGGCTTTGGCCACACCGTACCATTTTGAATTTTGGTCTGATTGCAGCTTGAGGGTGGGAAATATTGTACCTCTATGATTATTATTCTAAAAAAAGCTCCACCCAACCTCAGTCTGAGCAGGTCATATCTGTGAAAATAAGTAAAAATACCTGCAGGGCCTTTAAATGAAAAAATTTAAACAAACAAACATCAAAAAAGACTGTGTTCTTGTTCTTTTTTGCACAGTTTGTAGCTCTGCACAGATCAGAATTGAAGCTGTCAAGTATTCACTGTGCCTCAAACACTGACTGACATAAAGCTGCTGCAATGCGCCTACTCTTACATTCAGTCTGACTCGCGGTATGAAAATGTATCCCAAATTGTGTGGATAGAGAAATGTGCGATAGTAATCTGAAAAGCAATCACCACTGCACTGATACAAGAACAATAAACAACACTGGTCTTATTTTAGATCCTCATCTCAGTTTTTTTAGGCTGAAGAACACGCATTACTATTCCCAGATCGCCCCCTCTAACCCTTTGTACTGTATGATACGCTAATTGGCGGAGTGAGGCCGCTCATTAAAAGTGACAGGTATGATCTCACTAACCGGAAGCCTTGAGGCCACTATGGCCTATCAGA